ATATATATATTTATAGATACATGAAAATTTAACTGATCCACCACGGTATCGAAAAACTCAGCCGGCATATTTTCCGATACTCCGGTACTGTCGCTTCTTTTTACCCTCGAAATCTTCCTCTTCCATCTCGCTTGGGGGTCGATCACAGCGATGAAGCACGCTAAGCAAGTCTTCTACTTCATATTCCTCGCGCTCATCTTTTGCTACACCTCCCTCGCCTTCCAATCGGACGAGCTAATCTTAGACGACGAGGAGTTCATTCTCGAGGGCAGTCGCGCCCCTGAGCTTGAGCACACGATAACTAAAGTAACCCCTTCGAGTCGCCGGCGCGGGGATCTGGACTCTTCTTTAGATTCGAAGTCGGTTCAGTTCACACTTGAGCACGCCTTCGGGGATTCGGTCTATTTTCCCGCTGGAACCTTCACCGCGCGTCTTAAAACCTGGAGTCATGGTGGACAGGTGAGTTTCATTTGTGATTGATTTTCTAGGCTAGTTTCCGCTTCGTTTCGTAACAAAAGATTGGATTTTTGTCGTTCTCTTTTTGTACGGTTATCGAGCTCATTATGGTTTTCATCCAATGATATACTTGAGAAAACTTTGCTTGAACTTTAGATGCTGATGCATACAATTATGGTTTGCAGTGTTGGCATGAGTCACTCTGTATGATTCCTTTGTCTCTAATTCGCTTATTATTTTATTGAATCCGAATCTGTCACCCAAAAAATAGAGCTTAGAAAAGGAGAGAGAGAAGGTAGCACATCAATGAACAATAGAATGAGGGAATTGTGTAATCTCTTATTCATGAAATGATCCCCTATTTATAAACAAAGGGGCACAATATATGAATTTATATTCATGCTCTTACTTGAGTAGGGACTGTACATATTACTCTAAATATTTAACCCTTGTGAGCCCAATGCCTTGCTGGTCTTTGGCTCGGCCAATTGGATTTGATGATGTCGCCGGTTGGATAGATCCATCACTGCCAGTCGGTTTGCTGGCTGCGGGTCGGTAGGACTGGCCTGATTGGTTGAATTTTGCTGATCGGTAGACATGGTCCGTTCGTTAACTCTCGATCTCTACCGTGGACCTACTGTTGGTAGGGTGAAGCTAGGTCATTGGGCAGAAGATAAATCACCATAATTTGATGGTTAGTCTTCTCTTAGATGAGAGAATCCTGGTGGAATGGTCGAGACATGTGGTATTTCCTTAATGATATTGGGGGAGACGGCTGAGTGATCTTGGTATGACAGAGTCATGGTGATTAACTTCTCTCTCATATTGACTTTATCGTGATGGCAGGCTTGGACGACTCTTCCCTGTTCATTTGAATGCGCCACTTATGTTGATAGCACTTTGACCATTCTTGTGATTTAAGTGACCTTGGGGTTGCCATATCCGACCGATTATCTGGTTCGCTGATCCGCCTTTTATTGAGCCCTCTTCGTATTAGGGCATTTTCTCTTGGACTGTTAGATTTCCTCGAGATTCGTGCTAACTTTTTTTCGGGTACATATTTATTTTCGATTTATCTTTTAAGATTGAAGGAGTATCAAAGGAGAACTTCGTAAACTTAAGAGATGGGCTAGTTTAACCCAATGGATATAGTGATTTTGTTCTGGGATGTGTATTGTGTGAAGGATCCATTAATCTCATGCATCTCAACCGCCTACGTTTATCTCCTGTTAGCTCCTATACTTCTAGTTATTGCAAACTTAACTGTTATAGTATGCTAAGTTGATGTCTTCTATCGCAAGATGTAGTAGTTTATTTGTCAGGTAAAGAGGGTCTAACTAACTTCAAGAAATATAATCATTTTCCATGCTGTTAATAATTTCTCAGTAATCTTTACAATATATTTCGTCTTGATGTGCAATAATTTATCTAGCTTTTCCATTTTTTCTACTGCATGATTTCCTAGTTTGGCTCTTTTCTAATAAAATTATGCACTTGTTATGCAAGCAGTCATAGTCATGCCCCAAAACGTGATTACCCGCTATTGTCCTGCGCATCGTGCACTTCACTACACCAAATTACATTTAAGGTTACATTTTTAACTTTTCATAAAGAATTCTTCCAAGTTTAATAGTTTTCAAAATCCTACTTGCATCACTTAGAGTGCTCTGTTAATATTGGTTATACTGTCAAACTTAACAACAACAACAACATGTCTTTATTCCACTAAATTGGGTCGGCTATATGAATCATTTTTCTCAGTCGTGCTCTATTGAGTGCTATATTTTCATTTAATTTTAATAAATTAAGATCATTTTTATACAATATGCTCAGTCTTTTTAGGTTTGCCTGCCTTTCTTAGCATAAGTTGAATCTAAAGCATCTTCTCTTCTAACCAAATCATCAAATGATCGACGTTTATTGTGACAAAACCATCTAAGATGACTCTCTCTTATCTTGTTTGTCACTGGAGCTACACTAACCTTGTCACGGATATATTTATTCTGCATTTTGTCTCTAAATATCAAGCCACTCATTGACCTAAGCATTCTCATCTCAACAACACTTAACTCAGTTTTATGCTTCTTTTTAAGAGGCCAACATTCTGTGCTATAAAGCATTGCATATCTCACCACCATTATAAAATTTTTCTTCTAAGTCTAAACGGTATTTTTCTATCACAATAAGCCCGATGCATTCTTCCACTTTAACCATCCAATTTGAATTCTACTAATAAAATACCCACCTATATCAACATCACTTTGAACAATGAATCTGAGATATCTAAAACGTTCTCACCTTTTAATGATTTGATCACCCATTGTTATAACTATGCCACTAGATGTATTGCTACTTCTAAAATTACATTTCATGTATTCAATTTTAGATCTACTTAAACAAAAGCCTTCTCAATAAATCAAGTTTTTCCTGAATCCTTTCTCTAGCCTTATCCACAAGAAGGATATCATCGGCGAAAAGCATGCACCAAGGTACATCCTGCTGTGAATTTCTAGTAAGAGCATTCAAAAATAAAGCAAAAAGATGTGGCCTTAGAGACGATCCTTGATTTAATCCATCTAAAATAGGAAAAGATTTGTTTAATTCTCTTTTTGTTCGAACACAGGTAACAGCTCTGGTATATATATCTTTACTGACTTGAATATAAGTCATATCAGCGTCTTTCTTTTCTAGAACTCTCCAAAGAACTTCTCTTGGAACCTTATCGTAAGCTTTTTCTAAATAAATAAAAATCATATGTAGATTTTTCCGACTCTTTATGTACTTCTCCATCAAACCTCTCAATATATACTATCAAACGTAAGATGAATAAAAATTGAAATAAATGGAAGGTAAAACACAAAATAAGGATGTAACTACATTCAATTAGCTTCACCATCCTTACCATCATCATCATTGATAATCATGCTGGCATCATTATTATGATTATAATCATATTATCCGAAGGTCATTTTTTGGTTTGGTTTTTTCTTTTGGATGTAGGAATCAACGAGTATAAAAAGCAAAGATGGTAAAAATTGAGTAATAAAATGTGAATTGTATTGTTTTCAATTAATTTCAAAGTGTAGATACTAGCTATATTTATAGCCAACTAATTCTCCATAAAAAAATTACATGAAAAAATAAGTATGGCATAAAAATCGGAAATGTAAGATAAATTGTATATATATCTCGATAATCTTTTTGATATGACCACTCCTTATCTTAATGCTCATCTAATTTTTTTGAAAATACCCAAGAGAATATTTTTAGTTATTATTCTCTCATAAGGTTCGAGCAGCTTGAGAGAGATAAACAGAGCAAGGGAGGGAGAGAGGGTCTTTGAAAATGACCATTTGGCAATGAGCAAATAATATTTGTCGGTGATCACTAAGGTTGTCTTCAACCCAATTGATTTTGTACCCAACTCATGAAATTTTAAAGCGTAGTTACTAGCCATATATATATATATATATATATTTACATGAAAAAATGAATATGGCATAAAAATAGGAAAAGTAAGATAAATCGTATATTTCTCGATAACCATTTTGATACGACGACTCTTTATCTAAATGCTTATCTAATTTATTTGAAAATATCCAAGAGAATATTTCTAATAATTATTCTCTCATAAGGTTTGAACATCTTTTGAGAGAGAGAGAGAGAGAGGCTTTGAAATCACTAAGGCTTTGAAATCACTATTTTAACAATGAGAAAATAATTTTTGTATTTGATCACTAAGGTTGTATTCAACCCAATTGATTTTGTAGGCAACTCATGAAATTTGTTTGAACATTTTGATATGTGAAGCCCATGCTGCAATAGCCATATCAGCATATAGCTGACCTATTGGTAGTAGTAGCCACCCTTTATGATGAAGTTAGCCTGAGTTCATTGAGTAGCCACCCTCATGGTGTGGTTTGTCTTGTATTAAAAAAAAGAATTTGGTTAACTCAAATTCCAAGGCGTTACCTACCCTCCTAGTAGTGTTGTAGCTCTCAATCTAGTGTGAGCTATTGTGCACGCTACAATGCTTCTCGAGTGATGACCATTGTAAGTATTACTTGGTTCTCTTAGAGCTAGTATGACTTGATTGTCTTAGACACTGGCTCCCACTTTAAATTACTTTAACATCTATATAAATTTATTTGTCAAATTTTGCCATATTGTCCTTTATTAACATTTGTATTCTCTTTGTACTGGTAAGTTAGTTATTTTAGTTTCATGTTGGTTTAGCATTCTCCGTCTATTTATTTTTTGATTGATCAACATTCTTTTTTACTATTAAAATACTTTTAAATTTTTTGGTATATGGATGATCCTCGTAGGTACTCATTGGATGTTTTTTAGCCTCTTATAATTCTTTTAGTTACTCATACTAGTCTTCTAGGTACTTATCCCATCCATCTAGGCTTGAAAATAACCTTTGAATTTTATCCTTGGGTGGCGCTACTGAATGTTTTTTTTAAGCAAGGTCATTTGAGTAAGCATTTTTTAGCCTTGTCAATCTTTCATATTTACCTTATATTACCTATTGTATGCTATCTTATGATAGGAAAAATTGCACAATGATACTAATCTAAGTTAGAATTAAAATGACACTGGAATATGATTATAGTTTGATATTAAATTAATTTTGGAATGATGAGGCATAATGTTGTGCAATCAATATTTCTAGGATATATATTTTTTCCCAAATGGCTTGCAAAGATCTAGAATGTTTCTTATTTTATCAGATGCAAAAAACTTTCATTGGTGATGATTTTCAAAGAATAAGAAAAGAGTTTCATGATTGATCAATAAAATTCTTAATAGTTTATTTGTCCTCTCTCAATCATTCCTTCCACTGGCATTTTGTCAACGCTAAATTGTTAATTTCTCATTTACCTTTAAATTGTGAGCAATTTCCTTACCATTAGCAAAATAATGATCAAAACAACTAAATATATCCCATCGGTAGTTGGGTATTGTAATTGTAGGCTTTTTAAAGTTTGTTATGGACA